GTTGGTGCTAATGTAGAGTTGTGCTGTGTGTTGATGTTGGTGCTAATGTAGAGTTATGCTGTGTTGATGTTGGTGCTAATGTAGAGTTGTGCTGTGTTAATGTTGGTGCTAATGTAGAGTTGTGCTGTGTTGATGTTGGTGCTAATGTAGAGTTGTGCTGTGTTAATGTTGGTGCTAATGTAGAGTTGTGCTGTGTGTTGATGTTGGTGCTAATGTAGAGTTGTGCTGTGTTGATGTTGATGTTGATGCTAATGTAGAGTTGTGCTGTGTGTTGATGTTGGTGCTAATGTAGAGTTGTGCTGTGTTGATGTTGGTGCTAATGTAGAGTTGTGCTGTGTGTTGATGTTGGTGCTAATGTAGAGTTATGCTGTGTTGATGTTGGTGCTAATGTAGAGTTGTGCTGTGTTGATGTTGGTGCTAATGTAAAGTTGTGCTGTGTTGATGTTGGTGCTAATGTAGAGTTGTGCTGTGTTAATGTTGGTGCTAATGTAGAGTTGTGCTGTGTTGATGTTGGTGCTAATGTAGAGTTGTGCTGTGTTGATGTTGGTGCTAATGTAGAGTTGTGCTGTGTTGATGTTGGTGCTAATGTAGAGTTGTGTGTTGATATTGGTTACAGTAGAGTTGTGTTGATGTTGATCTTGGTGTGTTGAAGGTGTTGCCAAGCTTGACTGTCTCACGATTATTCTACAACACATGTGTCCCGATATGGTGTTGTAATAATATTAAATACATAATGCATGTACTAGAAAATCATTTAGAAATGGCAGTTTATATACTACCACCCACTCATTATAAAACCAGTCCGCCCCACAGAAAAATAAACAAGACAATTTTCAAACAAAAGATTGCACACTAAATACATTCTCTGCAAGTTCTGGGCAACGAAAAAGACTGGACTATATAGAGTATTGATCTAGACCTAGTGAGATTATAGACTTTTTGTTCTACTCATAAAGCTGTTAGAAGGAGCCACGGGTAGGTTAGGGTTAAGTCAGGTTAGTGTGATGGCAAAAGGCTTGTGTGCGACTGTGAGTAGAGTTATGGTAAACTTATGGTAAAGTTTAAGGTTATGTTGATCTAGTTATTGCCGATTCTATTGATGGTATAAAGTTACTTTACTTTTACCAGCACGTAAGAAGACCTATATTCGCATGATATTGCGATTCAATTAATACCAATTAATGGATTCTTAATGTTACACATAACTTCTAAGACTGACTAACAGAACCCGTAAGGTTCGATTGAACCCAGGTTAAGAACCACTGATCTAGACCAGGGGTCTCCAAACTTTTCAGGCCGAGGGCCGCATTAACTATCAAACGATTTTTCCTTAGACAAAAAAATCTCCGCGGGCCGGATGAGAGGTTTTCGCGGGCTGTATCTGGCCCGCGGACCATAGTTTGGAGACCCCTGATCTAGACTGGAGTATATATAAGAAAATACTTACTGTGGTTTTTCCGGGCATGGCGCTTTGAGCGGTGGAGGGCAGGGACAGGCCGGCATTTCAGGTTCCGGTTCGGGTGGTGGGGTTGGCGTCTTGGGTTTAACGACAACAACAACCGGCTTGGCGGGGCACGGGGGGAGCAGCGACACACACGGTGGTCGAACGTATTCCTCCAGCTCTGGTTCCTGTAGCACCACAGGTTCAGTGCCGTTCTTGTCTGGGCATGCCATTCTGGTAATCTGGTCTTTTAAATAGACAGCTGTAAATATTCTACTGTTTACTGTCTCAGAGTATTGATTCCGCCATTAAAATAAAACAAGAAATTACGTTTAGTTGTTAACCTTGTCATGTATCCAAGGAAGTGACGTTCTATAAATAGCAGAAAAGACTAGGCTTGTGGATCGAGATTAAGAAAAAGCAAAGTTTTCCAGACTTAATTAAAAGAAACAAAACAAACGTAATTTTACCTTGTTTTTTTTTAGTAGCCTACCAGACAATTTTAAAATGCTTTCCTTGAACTATGATAACCCAAAACCTGAACATTAAAAACCATAACTTTTCTTTAGCTACGCTAGTGATGCAGGGTGAAAAGTGGAGTCGAACGTTTGTCCGATTGGACGTTTCCCCGAATGGGACAAATGCCCGCAAGGGATCTAAGCCTGAATGCGACTTTTTCCCAAAGCCACATGACACCAGGTTGTTTTCCCGATTGGACTATTGCTCAAAAATAATTAAATGATACAAACTGATTTATTCATTGTTTTTCAAATGAAATTTTAACAATAAGTTTAATATAAAAAGTGGGAAAATAAACACCAAAAAGATTTAATTTTTTTTTTACTATAGGCCTACAAACTGTTATAAAATAACATTCTTTAACGTCAACTACACATTGAAGATTTTAATTTTACGCTTCTAGAGAAACTGACGTATTATGTGAAGTGAATAAACTCAGTCATAGACTATCTCTTGCCTAGCATGGAAAATTGTTGAAATTATATGACTATTGCAGTGACTTCTAATACAGAGGTTTATAAGTTCATTAATGCATCTAAAACGTTTTGTTACTAATTAAAAAGTGTATATGTAGGCTACCTGCGAGTTATCGTTTATTTTAATTGCATACGTCAATGTAACCTGTACCTTTGTAGACCTCGACATTCTCTTATTTATTTATTTCCCGGGGTGTTTGGACACAGTCCACACCTGCATATGTTTCTCCTGCCCTAATATCTGTTCTAACACCTGACTCTCCTGCCCTAACACCTGACTCTCCTGCCCTAAAATCTGACTCTACTAACACCTGACAAACACCTGACTCTCCTGCCCTAACACCTGACTCTCCTGCCCTAAAATCTGACTCTACTAACACCTGACAAACACCTGACTCTCCTGCCCTAACATCTGACTCTCCTGCCCTAACATCTGACTCTCCTGCCCTAACACCTGAATAACACATGACTCTCCTGCCCTAACACCTGACTCTCCTGCCCTAACACCTGCCCTAACACCTGACTCTCCTGCCCTAACATCTGACTCTCCTGCCCTAACACCCGACTCTCCTGCCCTAACACCTGACTAACACCTGACTCTCCTGCCCTAACACCTGAATCTCCTGCCCTAACACCTGCCCTAACACCTGACTCTCCTGTCCTAAGACCTGCCCTAACACCTGACTCTCCTGCCCTAACACCTGCCCTAAGACCTGACTCTCCTGCCCTAACTTCTGACTCTCCTGCCCTAACATCTACCCTAACACCTGACTCTCCTGCCCTAACACCTGCCCTAAGACCTGACTCTCCTGCCCTAACTTCTGACTCTCCTGCCCTAACATCTACCCTAACACCTGAATCTCCTGCCCTAACTTCTGACTCTCCTGCCCTAACATCTACCCTAACACCTGACTCTCCTGCCCTAACATCTACCCTAACACCTGAATCTCCTGCCCTAACTTCTGACTCTCCTGCCCTAACATCTACCCTAACACCTGACTCTCCTCCCCGAACTCCTGACTTCAAAGAACCGTGGAATATTCAAGTTAGGTAAAAGATGCTGGCTACTATGTTGAATCAGGCAATGTGGATGGACGAATACGTTGTTTGTTTGGAGATAAGCTAACTAATCTAGGTGAAGGTTACTAATAATTCTCCGCCAGTGGATGAACTCGAAAAGCCTCAAAACATATAGGCTAGAACTAGAACTAATGGTGTGTAGATATTTTTCTATTGTATCCTAAATGTTGATGTACACATTATTTTATGTACAGACCTATGTCTGTTCATTAAGTGTGATTTTGAAATGATAGAAATCAAAATACAGCCAAATGTTTCATCCATAAAATACGTAATTTTTTGGCGTTCCAACCCCTTTCCCCCCTCACTGTTAGTACACATGGTTATAAGATGCAAGACCCCTTCCCAAATGGCATAACACTTCCAACTACCCAGTCTCCCAAATTGCAGTTTTATTTTTTTAACAGCTTATATATATATATATATATATATATATATATATATATATATATATATATATATATATATATATATATATATATATATATATATGATACCTTGTAATAACTATTTACAACAAAAATTTCAAAGCGTGATGTCAAAATTTTTTACGTCCCTCCTCAGACAGAAAAATTCCACCCTCCCTCACCAAGAGTATGACGTCATCTACGGACGGTCCCTCAGGACACGGGTTCGGGGATAAGTGACGGGTTCGGAGATAAGTAACGATGTGTTCAGAAATTGTAACTAGGGCCTACACTTTGGCATGTTTAAAATAGTGTGAGAAACTGAATTTAGATTTGGACAAATGCTATGGAGGCGCACCAGAAAGAAAAGCAGGCTGAAATTGAAGGCCACGGCCTAGATCTGTATGGCGTAAAAACAAGTCGATTTGGGAAAAGTTAAAAAAGCGTTGATCTCATTCATAGACCTTATAAGTCTAGATCTATTTATGGATTTTTTTTTTAAATTAAAAAAAAAAAAACTTCTCGAGAAAATTCTTGTCCATGACACAATTTCATTGAATATGCTAAATATTTAGAATAAGTTATAGACCTTCCTGATGATTAACATTTATTTTCTTTTAAATTTATATTTTTAAAAAAAATAAAGACATTGCGCTGTATTTTAAATAGGCCTATATTTTTCTTTATTCATAGGAGTCAAAGACTAGTGGATCTAGGCCTGATAGCCAATGTGTAACGTAATCCTATCTGGTTAACCGGCCAGGTCAAATTTCGATCTAAGTTTTTAAAATAAAATGTTATCATTGAATTACACGTGGGTAAAGGCTAAATTTACTTGTCCGCCAACGATTGGCTTATGTTGTCTTACAGCAAAAAAGGGAAATCATTCCGCTATCAAATTGAATAGAAGAAAAACTTACATTTACCGTCCAACTTAAAAAATGTAAAGATAAAGGATATTGCATTATATCTTAATAATTTAAAAGTAAAATTATTTCCGAATTTCAATTTAAAATTTGAATAATCGTTCTGTACATGTGATCTATTTTATTGCAAATTCTTTAGCGTTGACCCGGATGTTGTTGTTCCAATCACTGCCGGTGACAGTATTGTATGGTTTTAAAATAATAATATAGAAGGGCCTGTCCCATACAGTTTTATACCTCTTCTATGAATTGCTTTCTCCTAAATTATAAAAGTAGCTCACAATAGGCTTCCTCAGTTTTTTCTTTTATGACCATGAAAACTATGCATTTTAAAGTTATTAGATTTTTACTGGTTCTTTTTGTAATTGTGTGTGCTGTTGCTGGAGATGAAGACTCAGCTGAACAAACTCAAACAGAAACAGGTAAAAATTTATTTTGTCACACTTTAGTCAGTGTGACTTTAGTTACTATAGTTAGGCCTAATGTTTAGGCCTATTATCTAGTCTAGATATCTCGATCTTGGCCCTAATTCTAAAAAAGTTTGTAGTGTCACACTCTGTAGTATGAGACACTGAAATCCCTGCAAAATCTGTCCTACAGTCTCCTACAGTCCCTAAAAAATCCATAGGGTCTAGATCTAGATCTAGATTCTATAGGCCTATTCATAGGGCCTAGGCCTATTCAATTCATAATAATATTGATAACTGATAACTCAATAATTCAAGACTGAGTCAAGACAGCCCTTGAAACTTGAAAGGATATAGATCTAGTCTAGATCTATATCATTATCTAGTACTAGTAATCTAGTACTAATCAATACCTGCTGCATGATCCTGGCCTGGGCCACTCCCAGATACAAGGAAAATGAGGTCGCAGACCAGCTGGCTAAAATTGGTGGAAAGAAAAAAACTTGCAGAAGTCTAGCTACATCCAAAAAGAAATCATAAAAAAATAAAAAGCAAACTCATACAACTATCAAATGAGGTCTGACACGCACCCAGATTACATAAAAGATGATGATGGATTTTACAAATAAACACGCAAAGAAAAACCCATTATCTTCAGACTCTGAACAGGCCACAACAGACTGAAACTGAAACAACACATGTATAAAAAAAAATTCATAAAAAACGTTTTAATAACAAGCTTTTATGTAATGATGCACTAAAAAGTAGAAAATAAATTATAGACTACTATTTAAAAATTAAATAACTATAAAGAAAAGCGTGGGTCACTTTAGTATCTATTGGATACCTTTACTGATGTTAAGAAAGACACCCACGCTTTTCTTTATAGTTATTTTAATAGTAGTCTATAATTTATTTTCTACTTTTTAGTGCATCATTACATAAAAGCTTGTTATTAAAACGTTTTTTATGAATTTGTTTTTCAGTACTTTACATGTTTTATTTACAATAGAGTTGCATGACTAAAAACCATTGCGCGCCTACTGAACATCACGTTCAGTAGGCGCGCAATGGTTTTTGAACGCAGCCATTACGTGATGGCGCTGCTATTGAAGGTGATGACGCGTGTGGTGTGGTTGGCTAGACATGCCTACTAATTCGGTCCAAATTTTAATTAATTCATAAAAAATTAATTAGGCATCCAATTAAGTCAAATTTAGTTTCAGATTGCATTGTCTTCATGTCTTGACCCACGTGCCAACTGTGAATCGTATCGGTCAAGTAGAACTGTCCGAATTTTCACTCCTGCGTTTCCATCTAGACTGACGACTGACGACAGAGGAAGCGAGTTAAATAAAAGCTTGTAAAAAACTAAAAGTTGGGCCAGTTGAAACTTGTCCTTGTGGCATGGCCCCGGAGAATGTAGAGCATGTCCTTCAAGACTGTTCTTGTACAACCAGGTGTGGTGATCTAAGCACTGACCTCTATACACCCCACTCAAGGAAAAACGGTATGCTGCGCCAGCAGTTCTGGAATCCACGGTCCAGTTTATCTACAAAGTTGGACTTGTTCTCCAACATTAATTCAATTAGGAACAAGTAGAAGAAACTAAGTATTGTAAGTGCAAGTGGGAGTATTGGTATTAATGAAAGAGCTAATTCTATAATATAAGTATAATCTGTATGTCACTATATGAAGAGGGGTTAGTCGTTAGATGATTGAAGTGTAGTTTGGTGCAGAAATAAAGTGTAGCCTTTCATTTATGATTTCAATGTCAAAGGTAGACAGGGACATAATGTATAGTTATATATAGGCTTATTGTTTAGGAAAATACTTAATTGTTTTTAGCTAGGCGGGATGCGAGCCCTCCATTTCACACAACACCAAGTTGCCTTTGCCCCGTCCTGCATCAGGTCAGAACACTTCGAGCAGTTAGTTCCCCAAAAATGGACAGCTCATATCATATTAGCAAGTTCTACCATGTTTAGTTTATTTACTAACATAAGTTTTCAAAGATGTTCCATTATTGCTGCATTTTTTTAACCATGCCACAAAAAAATCACAATAATCTGGGTGATTTCTCTATTCTATTAACGCTGCTGTTGGTACAATGTAAGATGAAGACTAAACAGTACCAACATGACCCATGTTTAGACATACCCAATTGTACTTCTGGGACACAAAACAGCAGCTAAAACTACTACAAACAGTACAAGACTGACAATCTTGAAGACATTTAATAACTACCTAACATTAAACCTGTTATCTGTTGTCAATTTTCATAAGCTATAATTACCTTATAGACATTAGTTACATGATGAATTCATTTAGCATTTATAAATTACCAGGAAAATAAGACTTTGGGTATTCTAATTGCTGTTACATGTTTGAAGTCTCAATAATGATTTTTTTTTAGTTGATGATGGTGAAGATGGAAAGCTGCGATATGAAGACTCTGTGTTGGTGTTAAATGAGGACAACTTTGATGAAGTTATTCAAGACAATCCTGTGGTTCTAGTGGAGTTTTATGCACCCTGGTTTGTATTCCATCTCATCTCTTTTCATTTACCAAAAATGTAACTTTTGCTAATTAGGAAATATTATTACTTTATGCTTATTCAATAGTTCATGTAGACTTTACATTTTATGTTGTACTTTTACAATTTTAGTTGTAGGGAAAATAAAAGTTGAAGTGGGCTGTATGTTATTTAATTAAGAGAACTCTCCAGTAATACATGTAAGGTAAATGTAAAAACCTAGCTTCATACAGATAAAGCAAATCCAGGGTGCCATTTTACTAGGATATCCTTGAATTCCTGATTCAAGATTTTTTTTCAGTTGTAAACTTACCGGGTTTGCAGTTTGAAAATCAAGTCCTTTAAAATTTTTAAAGTTGGCATTTTAGAGCTTGTTTTTAGTATGCCATCATAACTCCAGAGTAGTTTTACATTGATAGGTGGGACAAAGCTCAAGTAATTGAGATTGGTGTGACAGCATATATGTCACTGGTGTAAACACTATCATTTAATTTAAATACAATTTTTGTTTTAAGATTGCTACACAAGTAATGAGTCCACTAAAGAACTGTGTATTTAACATAACATGAATCAATTGTCTCTTGGGTGACAATTTGGCTTTTAAAATTTTATTTATAAAATGGTAAAGTTTGGGGGAGTAGATTGAAGCTATTGAAGCTAGACTTTTAATTAAAATTAGTTGTGTTTAAGTACATTGACTATGTTAGGAAATCTATTAGAACTATGATTGTGTTAAGTCAAACTTGTTACCACATAGGTGTGGCCACTGTAAACAGCTGACACCTGAATATGCTGCTGCTGCTAAGGAACTAGCAAAGGCTGATCCTCCTGTTTTACTGGGCAAAGTAGACGCCACTGTCCATAGCAAATTGGCTGAAAGGTAATTCTACTTGCTTGAGTTGGGTGATTTTTTCTAGTTACCTTGTCTAGTTACCAAATGTATAAAGTAGAATCTACTAAGCTAAACAAATTGGCTGAAAGGTAATTCTACTTGCTTGAGCTGGCTGATTTTTTTCTAGTTACCTTATGTATAAAGTAGAATCTACTATACTAAACAAATTGGCTGAAAGGTAATTCTACTTGCTTGAGCTGGGTGATGTTGTTTTTGTCACCATGTCTAGTTACCAAATGTATAAAGTAGAATCTACTATACTAAACAAATTGGCTGAAAGGTAATTCTATTTGCTTGAGCTGGGTGATGTTGTTTTTGTCACCATGTCTAGTTACCAAATGTATAAAGTAGAATCTACTATACTAAACAAATTGGCTGAATGGTAATTCTATTTGCTTGAGCTGGGTGATGTTGTTTTTGTCATCATGTCTAGTTACCAAATGTATTGTGTGTATTCATGCTTTTTAAAAATGGTTTTGTACTTGTAATTTTAATTTAAAAGAATCATTCATGTCAAAGAGTTTTCTGTGGCTCTTCTGGTCTGTTTAAAGGGCATAATCAGTTGGTTTTTCAAGTTACAAAATAAGCAGTTAACTTTAAAAATGGTGTTATATATTAAAGATTCTATTTGATTGCTGTAGAATAACCTTAAAAAGAAATATTATGAGAAATGAGTAAACATTATACATTAGTAATTTTTAATGGCCAAATTTGACTCATTGTTATTTATAATTTAAAAAGAATCAAATGTTTAATGTGTAAATTGTGTGGAGATTGTACTTTAAAGTATGTTATAAATATTGTTGCCTATTGTTTGCAGATTTGAGGTTCAAGGGTACCCAACACTCAAATTTTTTAGGGATGGAAAAGAATACTCTTACGAGGGGCCACGAGTTAAAGATGGTCTGTTGAGTTTGAAAATTTAGATTAAAACATTTATTTATAACTGTTTACGAATAATGAGGTGTAATAAATGAGTATGTTGTGTTACTGTTGCTATGTTATTTTGTTTCTTGCTCTATGATCAAGTGTGCCAGGTTTGTTCACCTTTATGGTTTCATGGCAGAGTGGTAGATAAATGCCAGGTTTGTTCACCTTTATAGTTTCATGGCAGAGTGGTAGAAAAATAATTGTCTAAAACTAGCCTGTCTTACCTTGTGTCACATCCAGGCATTGTGAGCTACATGACAGAAAGGGCAGCTCGTGACTGGGTGCCAGAGCCTGATGCTGTGGTCACTCTCACTACTGCTGAGTTTGATGAATACATCAACAATCAAGACCTTATGCTGGTAGAATTCTATGCTCCATGGTAGGTGCTCTCTTCTAGCTGTGAGGTTTCTAAAAAAAATGAATAAATGACATTTCTACCTTATGGGTCGCCCTAAAAGGGTTTGGGCATCAGTGGTGATGGTGTGGGGAATAAAAAAAATGGAATATCACACCTTGCTGTTTGAAAAAATATTTATTTAGATTAAGTGCTTCAGCTATTTCACATTTTAAAAAGACTTGTAAATATTAACAAATTAGTCAAAACATGTGATGTTGACCCTCTTCAGTTAATCTCAAGTAAATAGAAAGAAATCATGTTTAAAATAACTATAACCAAACCTGACTTTTTGTGTTTACAAGGAGAGTGTGGTAACAGTCATCAAGAGAGCATTACATCACTTTTGGTCTGTTCCTAAATCCATCATGCTCTCAGTAAAAAGAAAATCTTAGCTAAGGTAGACTACTCTTTGACAACTCAGTAGAAGATGCAGTTCTCTTTCTTATATTTCATACACCAATTATTGTTAAATTTCTTTTCACGGTTTAATGGTTTAATCAGTTCAGCATGAATAGTTAACCAATCACAATGATATAGTATGAAATCTCATATGTAAACTTACATTTGATCCCAACCTTTTGTGTTGGTTTTAACTCTGACAAGCATCTTAATCTAACACTTCTATCACCCATTAGGCTCCATCAAACATTAAGTCTAATAGTTTCATTATGGGATAGACATGTTATCTACAAAGGGGGTGGGGGAGAAGGTGGGTGTCAGCAGATATCTTAAAGAGAATGATAAAGTAATTTGAGCCTGTTTGAATTTTAACACCTAATGCATACATGGCCAATGATATTTTTTTGCCTCTATCAGTTTGCAGCTTTAGGTCTGCTGAAATAAAGATTTTTTTTTTGGACTTTTTAAATTAAAAAAAAACAACTAATTCTTATACATTCTTATGTATTTGTTTTTTAGATTTCACTTTATTAATTATTTTTTTATTTATTGAGTTTTATGCTGCTGTGTTGGGAAAAAAAATTGTCATAAAATTTATCACTGAAATGTGGCCTTAAGTTTATAAAAACTGTGAAATATAAATACAGCCTTAAAGAAGGAAAATACCCAACAATTCAAAGGCCTAACAAAATATCAAGTTTGTTTGGTCAGGGTTGGAACCCAGTCAAAGTTGCAGCATCCTTCCCTGTTGAATTTTTAAAAAAACTTCATTATTTTCTGAAAGTTTTTTATTTTGTGAAGTAAATCTGTTTTTTTTGTCCCTGTAGGTGTGGTCATTGTAAAAGGTTGGCACCAACTTATGAAAAGGCAGCTAAGACTTTGCAGAAGGAAGTGCCACCAATAGTGCTAGCCAAAGTGGATGCCACAAAAGAAACAGATTTGGCCACAAAATACGAGATAAGTGGCTACCCAACTCTTAAAGTTTTCCGCAAGGGAAGAGCTACTGACTACAAGGGGAAATATGATACTGAATATGGTAAACAACAGTTCTTCTTCTTCCTATGTTATGAATTTAGTAAAACCGTAAACATTTTTTCCTCCTAAGTGGGCTGCAGGGGCGGAACTATAGTGCCGCCAGACCCCGCAATGCGGGGGGGCCCACGCCATTTAGAGGCCCAGAGCCGACCATAATAAAAAAAAATTATAGTTTAAAAAAAAGTAAATTTTCTTTTAATTTTAACTTGATAGTTGTTTTGTAAAAAAATACCCTAGCTGCGGTTGGATTATCTTTATTCTATAGACACCGCCCCACGCTCTTGTATATTCTTTTTCCCTTTGTTTTTAAACCACTGTGAAAGCCGAGTCTTTCTCCTACAATTAAACTTGTCAAAGATAAGCAAATGTTCAAACCACTTCCATGACTTATTTCCCTTTTTTTCAAAATAGTCTAATAGGGGTGATAATCTCCTTTTAATAGATTTGTACAAAACAAATTAAAAACCAATTACTTCTCTTAATTATTATTTTCTTATAAGTAATTACTAAAGAATGACATACTATAAAAAGGAAATGTACTAAATCAATAATATTTAAAAAATTAATGATATAAATAAAAAAAAAACATAAAAATAAACATAACACGAGACACCAGTACTTATACAAAGCTTTTATGTTTTATATTATTTTGACCGATTATATGTTAAGAGGGCTTCTATCAAAAATTAATTAAAACTGATTTTATGCACTTACACACATGTATGGAAGACAACCCTGATAAAGATGAAGATGGAACGGGTAATAAAGACGTTTCGAAAGAAGAAAGCTCTTCATCAAATCAAAAACAAGTTTCTATAACAAATATTGAGAAAACTGAGGAACAACATGAAAAACACAGGGCCATATTAAAAACGCTAAAAAAATCCTTAGACAATTAGCCATGATTTCAGTGATTTGGAAAAGAGGGGGGCAAATATTGGTCCTGTTCAACTGTTTTCCAATAATTATAGACAACCTCAGTCTTGATCCCGTTGATAAAAATACAGTCACACATTCTCAGCTGTTGCAGTTTTACACATGGACCAACAAGATAATTTGTCACAGCTAATTACTGTTAGAGTAATTGTTGAATTTTATTATTTTTATTTTCCTTTTGATTCCATTTACGACTTCGCTTAAAATTTACATATAAAATTGTTAGCACGTAGTGTAATGTAGCAATAAATTGTATTTTGTCTAAAGATGCATGAGCTTGCACAGCAAGCAGTCACAATAATGGCACAGAACACCCTGAAGCGTACACAGTCTCCCAAATATACCGAAGCAAAAAAAACATGCTTGCTGCGTGTCTTGCATCACCACAAACTGTAGAGCATTTTGTGATGGCATTAAATAAAGCATACCCAAACTCAAATTTTACTCTGACACAACCTCTTGGAAGCTGTGGTGTCAAGCAGATTGAATTGGGGCGAACACTAAGAGCAATTGTTGTATTGCGTGTTCTGACAATTGAATGGGTTAAAGTGAAAGGGTTTGACGAAAAATTTCAAACTGAAGATGGCCAGTTTGATATTTGGTCCAATTCTCGTTATCAAGTTTTCCAAAAGATTACACATCATGCAATTGCTGCATCTTTGCATTACTATGCACCAGCCATTCCAGAAATAGCTGTAAAATCATTTGTGCTGTGGCTGGAAGGGTTTGGCACTTTGTTTTCAGCTCCATGTGTGAAGTGTGGCAAATATTTACAGAACAATATGCCACCAACATGGTGGGACTATCGCAGTAGAGAAGCATATCATGATCTGTGCAGGATGTAAATAGTTCCAAGTTTCCAATATGGGATGTATTACATACATAGTTCCACTGTGGAATGTATGTATGTACGTATGTTTACATTGGTATGTACATATTTTGTGAGAAAGGAATTAGTGAATAATTCTCCATTTTTATTATTGTCGTCATAAGCTATACATTGTACATAAATTTACTTTGAAAAAAAAAAAAAGCACTAACACTCATGACCTGATGTTGAAATTATTTTAAATTTATGTTTTTCAAATCCCGAACAGGCCAGCAATGAGTATCCTATTTTTTGTATTTTGTGATTGTGTATATATATATATATATATATATATATATATATATATATATATAGGCCTATATAATATATGGGGGGGGGGGCTAACAGTTTTTTGCGGGTGGCCCTTTTTTTCTAGTTCCGCCACTGGTGGGCTGGTGGATTTCATTACCAAGCACAAGCTATGCTTCAGTTTTCAGACGAGAATAGCCACACACATTTTTTTTTGTCATTTTATTCTAGTTATTATTATTAACTTTTTCCTGATTATCATCATGCATGTTCTCTGGTTTTTAGATATTGTTAGAATTTATTTAATTTGTTTTAGATATTGATACAATATGTTTGTATGGTTTAAGGTATAATATTTTTATCTGGTTCTAAATATTGTTACAATGTCTTTTTCATGTTCTAGATATTATTCTAATGTTTTTATCAGGTTTAAGATATTGTTACAATGGTTTTTTTTATCTGATTCTATATATTGTCCTACTGTTTTTATCTTGTTCTAGATATTGTTCTAATGTTTTTATCTTGTTCTTGATATTGTTCCAATATTTTTTATCTTGTTCTAGATATTGTTCCAATGTTTTTATCTTGTTCTAGATATTGATCCAATGTTTTTATCTTGTTCTAGATATTGTTCCAATGTTTTTATCTTGTTCTAGATATTGTTCCAATGTTTTTATCTTGTTCTAGATATTGATCCAATGCTTTTATCTTGTTCTAGATATTGATCCAATGTTTTTATCTTGTTCTAGATATTGTTCCAATGTTTTTATCTTGTTCTAGATATTGTTCCAATGTTTTTATCTTGTTCTCGATATTGATCCAATGTTTTTATCTTGTTCTAGATATTGTTCCAATGTCTTTATCTTGTTCTAGATATTGTTCCAATGTCTTTATCTTGTTCTAGATATTGTTCCAATATTTTTATCTTGTTCTAGATATTGTTCCAATGTCTTTATCTTGTTCTAGATATTGTTCCAATGTCTTTATCTTGTTCTAGATATTGTTCCAATGTTTTTATCTTGTTCTAGATATTGATCCAATGTTTTTATCTTGTTCTAGTCTTCATCTTGTTCTAGATATTGTTCCAATGTCTTTATCTTGTTCTAGATATTGTTCCAATATTTTTATCTTGTTCTAGATATTGTTCCAATGTCTTTTTCTTGTTCTAGATATTGTTCCAATGTCTTTATCTTGTTCTAGATATTGTTCCAATGTTTTTATCTTGTTCTAGATATTGTTCCAATGTCTTTATCTTGTTCTAGATATTGTTCCAATGTCTTTATCTTGTTCTAGATATTGTTCCAATGTTTTTATCTTGTTCTAGATATTGTTCCAATGTTTTTATCTTGTTCTAGATATTGTTCCAATGTTTTTATCTTGTTCTAGATATTGTTCCAATGTTTTTATCTTGTTCTAGATATTGTTCCAATGTTTTTATCTTGTTCTAGATATTGTTCCAATGTTTTTATTTTGTTCTAGATATTTTCCAATGTTTTTATCTTGTTCTAGATATTGTTCCAATGTTTTTATCTTGTTCTAGATATTGTTCCAATGTTTTTATCTTGTTCTAGATATTGTTCCAATGTCTTTATCTTGTTCTAGATATTGTTCCAATGTTTTTATCTTGTTCTAGATATTGTTCCAATGTTTTTATCTTGTTCTAGATATTGTTCCAATGTTTTTATCTTGTTCTAGATATTGTTCCAATGTTTTTATCTTGTTCTAGATATTGTTCCAATGTTTTTATCTTGTTCTAGATATTGTTCCAATGTTTTTATCTTGTTCTAGATATTGTTCCAATGTCTTTATCTTGTTCTAGATATTGTTCCAATGTCTTTATCTTGTTCTAGATATTGTTCCAATGTTTTTATCTTGTTCTAGATATTGTTCCAATGTTTTTATCTTGTTCTAGATATTGTTCCAATGTTTTTATCTTGTTCTAGATATTGTTCCAATGTTTTTATCTTGTTCTAGATATTGTTCCAATGTTTTTATCTTGTTCTAGATATTGTTCCAATGTTTTTATCTTGTTCTAGATATTTTCCAATGTTTTTATCTTGTTCTAGATATTGTTCCAATGTTTTTATCTTGTTCTAGATATTGTTCCAATGTTTTTATCTTGTTCTAGATATTGTTCCAATGTTTTTATCTTGTTCTAGATATTGTTCCAATGTTTTTATCTTGTTCTAGATATTGTTCCAATGTTTTTATCTTGTTCTAGATATTGTTCCAATGTTTTTATCTTGTTCTAGATATTGTTCCAATGTTTTTATCTTGTTCTAGATATTTTCCAATGTTTTTATCTTGTTCTAGATATTGTTCCAATGTTTTTATCTTGTTCTAGATATTGTTCCAATGTCTTTATCTTGTTCTAGATATTGTTCAATGTTTTTATCTTGTTCTAGATATTGTTCCAATGTTTTTATCTTGTTCTAGATATTGTTCCAATGTTTTTATCTTGTTCTAGATATTGTTCCAATGTTTTTATCTTGTTCTAGATATTGTTCCAATGTTTTTATCTTGTTCTAGATATTGTTCCAATGTTTTTATCTTGTTCTAGATATTGTTCCAATGTTTTTATCTTGTTCTAGATATTGTTCCAATGTCTTTATCTTGTTCTAGATATTGTTCCAATGTTTTTATCTTGTTCTAGATATTGTTACCCACATGAAAAACCAGGTTGGAGATGGAGCAAAACAGCTGGATAGCCTGAAAGCTGTCAAGGAATTTTTTTCTGTCGAAGATGTCACTGTCATAGGGTTCTTTGATTCCAAGGATAATTCCCTTGTGCAACCATACAAAGATGTCTGTAAGTTTGTAACACTGTCTAGCTAGAATTTGGTCCATTATTGCAAATGGCAAATATATTTGTCCTTCTTATATTGAAGTTTAATATTTAGCTTGCTCAGTTTGTGGCTTCACAAATCTTGGAATATTAACTTAACCCACTTCCCATTGTCAACTTGAGCTGAAATCTGACACATTTCTAGGTTTAGGATGATAATGCAAGAACATTTAATTTTTAATCTAATGAGAATTTTTTTTTTATAAACGACTATGTTCAATTTTTCAATAAAATGGTAGATAAGATTAAATAAACCGGAGGGATCTCCCCTAAACTTTCTCGAATATTCTTATATAAAACAACGGGATGGGACCTCAGGATATAGTTATGATTTTTAATCCGTTTTAAATACTTAAACTTTTTAAAATAGAATAGAATCTCATAGAAAAAAGAATTGCGCACCACGCGAACGGCGAATAAAGATGTGTATAATAGTGCGGAATATTATTAGTACTTTATAAATTCACATGCGTTTTTTGAGAAATCGGAAATAACGTAAATTAGTACTTCCGGTCAATGGAAATTGCTCAAAATTTGACAGAAGGTAGAGAATTAGATCTTTTACTTTCATGTGAAATTTCATTTATGTATCTGAAATAGTACTCAAGTTATAGGCTTTTGAAAAATTCAAAGTAGAAAAAATGCCACTTCCGGTTATCGGAAATCGCTCAAAAGTTGATCAGGATCTACGATTTTGATAAAATACGAACTGTAACGGTACTCAAGTTATCGTGTTTACACAGACATACGGACAAGATTGCAAAATTTTGTTTTTGCACGATTACAAGACTTTCTCTATATTTCGTATATACGAGAAAGTAAAAAAACTACTAGCGATGGCTTGATAAGAGGGCCATTGAGGCTGAACTCTGCACAGTTCACGGTTGGCAGATTTTGTGCCCTATCATAGAGCATGAACTAAATAAGGGCTGATAATTAAATTTTAGAGATCTCAAACCACTCCACATAGTTTAACACAAACATTTTTAGTCGTAGCCTATGTAGTGTCGACTTAACTCTGAACGAATGATTTAAAAGTGAAAAATAATTCTCAAAAAAGAGAACTTTTTTAAAGAACAAGGTTTTTATTATATTCACAAATCATTTATGTAAAACATAATAACTTTCATAGGGAGTTCATTGATAGGTTTACGTTCAACAACATAAGACCCATGTTCAGTTTTCAGGCTTTTACTTTTAGTCATACCAGCATATACTTTTAGTCAGTTTACTCTAAACTAAATATAGATTCAACTTTTTAGTGCAGTTTTTCTTTCTGATATTTTGGTGATTTGTGAATTTAATGAAAGCTTTTTGTTCCTTAAATTTTTTTTGATGAATTATAACCGATTGTGACATTATTTAATTTGGTCCATTTGTGTTATCTTTTTGCGATGTCAAAAACTTGTAATTATGTGCTGATGTTGCCTTGGATAGAGCTCTCTTGTTTTATCCCCAGCTGATGAACTGAGAGAGGACTACACATTTGGTATAACTTATAAAGCTGACGCACGGGAACACTTTAAAGTCAAGCCTAATTCTGTGGTGGTCTTTAATGCTGAGAGGTTTTATACTAAATATGAACCCAAGTGGTACACCTTAGAGATCAAGGTACTTGATGACACATAATTAGGTTCATGTGCTGTAGTTGACCTAGTCAGGTGTAGATGTGTGTCCTGTAGTTGACCTAGTCAGGTGTAGATGTGTGTCCTGTAGTTGACCTAGCCAGGTGTAGATGTGTGTCCTGTAGTTGACTTAGGCAAGTGTAGATGTGTGTCCTGTAGTTGACCTAGCCAGGTGTAGATGTGTGTCCTGTAGTTGACCTAGTCAGGTGTAGATGTGTGTCCTGTAGTTGACCTAGTCAGGTGTAGATGTGTGTCCTGTAGTTGACCTAGTCAGGTGTAGATGTGTGTCCTGTAGTTGACCTAGTCAGGTGTAGATGTGTGTCCTGTAGTTGACCTAGCCAGATGTAGATGTGTGTCCTGTATGACGGCCATAAGCTGTAGAACCTGCCTGTCCCCAGCCTGAGACCACAGTGAAAGATGTGAAGGAGTTCATCAACCAGCACAGTTTGCCTCTGGTTGGCCACTACTATGGGGCCCAGTTAAGTCGCTACACCAGCAAGAGACCCTTGTGTTTGGTCTTTTACTCTGTGGACTTCAGCTTTGATCATAGAGCAGGTGGGAGGCTGTTCTTTAATCCAACATATTTATCTGGCATCATTTCTCAGATGTTTATTTATAATCAGAATGTAGTTAATCAACTTAAATGCGTCATTAACAATGAACGCATGCTAGTGTTAAATTTATTTTAATGTGCTGGTGTTGATTCAACACATGGCAGGCTAGCCTTAGATTTAATGTGTTAGGATATTTATTCTTTGTGTGTCATGTTAGTTTGTGTTACGAGCTTGTCTGTATGGTTTCTATATGAGTTTGAATGTGCGTCAACTATCTGCAGCCACCCAGCTATGGAGGAACAAGATTGCCGCTGTAGCCAAGAAGTTCCCTGACATCACATTTGCTGTGGCAGATGATGAGCAGAATGCTAAAGAAATGGAGGAGCTAGGGCTGGGGGACTCTGGGGAGGAGCTGAACGTGGGTCTGTACGGGGCGGACAACAAGAAGTACTTCATGCCGCCCTTTGAGGAGTACGACAGTGATGAACTCATTGAGTTTTTGAACAATTATAAGAAAGGTTTGTACCTGACATCTTGTTACTGGGAACTGTTTGGTGTTCTTCACTAGTTGATTCAGATGATTTGTGATCAACTCTTGTCACTAAATTTTGATTCATTTCTACCCAAGTGATTTCAGTCAGACTTACCACATCAACATCTCCATTGTAGCTTTTTTTAAATTATTTTTTTCATTCTAATTAAATATAAAATGAATCATTACAATTTTAAAACAAAAAAGTTTTGATATTATTATTATGTATTTAATAGCTTACTAAAACTGTCCACACCTTTCTTAAAACGTTTTTCTTAACTCAGCTTCGCGTTTGTTTGTTTGTTTGGTTGTTTGGATGTTTGTTGTTAAAATTGACATCGAAAATTAGCCCACTTCTGATTGCTCTAGAGACCTGAAATTTGGCATGCATGCTACTTTCGCCTAACAATTTCAGATGCAATCATAAAAACTAGCAATTAGTGACCGTAATTAGCTTAATTTAATTACGCCACAAGGACCATAAAATTGAGGACATGATTTCTAAAGATACCGACAAGACTTGAGGCCTATTGACACAGTTACTTCGGCCCCAATCGATGTGAGCGCGCTGGCCGTGATCGTATAGTGGTTAGTACTTCGCGTTGTGGCCGCGACAACCCAGGTTCGAATCCTGGTCGCTCAAGATTTTTAGTCCGTGTATTTATAAACACTTTTTTAAAAACCACGTTTTTCATGTGTAGCAACGGACTAAAAAGGAGAAAATAAAATACTTAAAAAAACTTTTTAAAAAACCACGTTTTTCTTGTGGACTAAAAAGTAGAAAATAACTATTTACATACATTTGATGACAAAAAACGTGGGTCGGGCAGATGGGTCGGGAAATTTGATGGTGAACGTACCCACGTTTTTTGTCATCAAATGTATGTAAATAGTTATTTTCTACTTTTTAGTCCACAAGAAAAACGTGGTTTTTTAAAAAGTTTTTTTAAGTATTTTATTTATAGTTATTTGAATAGTCAGTTTTTTCTTTTGAGACCATATGGAAGATTGTTATTAACAGCCATTTTCTCTGTTTGATGTACTAACATGCATCTTCTCTGTTCTAGGCAAGCTCAAGCCATTTAAAAAGTCCCAGAGGGCACCTAAGAAGAACACAGGACCAGTAACTGTTGTAGTGGCGGACAACTTTGAGCAGATAGTCCTGGACCCCAAGAAGGACGTGCTGATTGAGATGTACGCCCCCTGGTGTGGCCACTGCAAAAAGCTGGAACCCATCTATGCTGAGCTGGCCACCAAGCTCAAGCATGAGAAAAATCTGGTCATTGCCAAGATTGACGCCACAGCTAACGACCTACCAGATAACTACAGCGCGTCTGGTTACCCCACCATCTACTTTGCTCCATCTAATAACAAAAATTCTCCCATCAAATATGAAGGAGAGAGAGATCTTAAAGGCTTTGAATCTTTTCTAAAATCCAAGTCCACAGTAGCTTTTGGAAAAGTGAAAGAAGAGTTGTAATCTGATTGCTGCTAGGTTTTGTTTCAATACAATTTGTTATTTTAGCTTTAATGTATCATCCCCTAGCTGCAAATGGTTTCATTTTGGCATGACTGTTGTATACATCATTGATCTCCATATGTGTATGTTTATATCTTGCTTGTATTTGATTGTCACATTATTGGCCAGTGTGTTACATCTCAGCATTCCAGCTGCTGTAGGGCTTGTCTACCACCATTGGATTAGGAACACACTACATTGGATTTGAGTTGCATTGAATATTGTGTTTAGATGCCACTACCATCCTGCATTGTATTAGCATTACTACCATCCAACATTGGATTTGAATGCCACTACCATCCAACATTGTGTTAGCATTACTACTTCCTACATTATACAAGTGTTTCTGCCATCCTACATTGTATTTTGAATGCCACTACCATCCAACATTGTATTTGAATACAATCTATCTCCTACAAAGTATGAGAGCTGATGTGTTATGTGCCTTAGGCCTGGCTGATCATCCCTTCCTTCCTGTCACAACTGTGTACATGTGATTGCGGCTCTAGGCAACAGCTGGTTCCTACATCTTGTTTCATATGTTCAATAAAGGAGGGTTCAAGTTCTCTTGTGTCTGTGTTGCATGGTTTGTATTTGGTGTGAATCAAGGTAGATTTTGGTTGGTTTGGTTTGTGGGATGTTTTATAAAGGTATATGACCTAACGATTCCACGACAAAGGTTTGGCTACCATGATGTAATGAGCCATTATAAAGGTTTGGCTACCATGATTTAATGAGCCATTATAAAGGTTTGGCTACCATGATTTAATGAGCCATTATAAAGGTTTGGCTACCATGATTTAATGAGCCATTATAAAGGTTTGGTTACCATGATGTAATGAGCCGTTATAAAGGTTTGGCTATCATGATTTAATGAGCCGTTATAAAGGTTTGGCTATCATGATTTAATGAGCCATTATAAAGGTTTGGCTCCCATGCAATAAGCCATTCAAAACCTTTGTCAACAACTAAGATGGAATAGAATATCTGATCTTAGTGTTCTAAGCAAAATGTTTTCAAACTATGTTAGAACTTCAGCTCTATGTGTAAATATATCATGCGGTCTTTTGATTGTTGTCCCTAAATATTGACCTTGCGTCAGTCAAATCCCATCTACCCCTTGCGTCAGTCAAATCTCCCCGTGCGTCAGAGTCGATACATTTCTAGCTGAAGTCAAACACCGTGTCGCCATTTTGTTAAGTATCTCTATCCGACCCCACAGCTTGCAAGAGAGCGGTCGATTTCAGAGAGGGAAAAAACCCAGATTAACGCACTCTGTTTTCGATTTCACATTTGAAAGGATCAGTTTACTATTTAACGGTAGATTTAAATCCACGTCTTTAAAATGGTCAAAGATTTTCTTAAATATTCATAATGGACAAGAAATTATGTGTTAAGTATCTGGAAATAATTATAATTTCTAATTATGGATGTGGCAGCAATTAGAAGGTAACATAATTGCTAAAGAGATTAAAACTAGATCTGTACATTTTTTTTTTTGGTTTCGTATTTTCAGTATAAACATTGGTTGAGTTTAGACCTCCCTCTTCCATGCCCATAGTTTACACATTAAACAAAATTTGAGCATACGAAAATCTTGTTTAGATGGGTCGTCGTTGGATTGATTCTTGCATCAAGAGTTTGTGGCGGTCCAGGATCTCATGGCTAGTTTTACTCTGTGTTTCTTTTCTCAACGTCACTCTCTTTCTACACACCTCACGTCTGACGTACACCAACTGTGACACAGGTAAGTCAAAGCTCAGACACATCACCTACAATCATACAGGCAGATCACCTACAATTATACAGGCTTGAGGCACATCACCTACAATCATACAGGCTTGAGGCACATCACCTACAATCATACTAATCTGAGGAAGCCCAACTACAATCATACATGTTTTGTAGGAGACAGATCACCTACAATCATAATGCTCTAGGCATACCACCTATCAGCATACGGGCTTGACGTAGCGGTATCTCACAAACAATCACATGTTTGAAGCAGCTCATCTTATATATATATATATATATATATATATATATATATATATATATATATATATATATATATATATATATATATATATATATATATATACTAGCTTCATACTCGTGATCCGCCACGGTGAATCTTTTTAAATGTACTTGGGAACAGAACAAAACTAAACGCAAACACAACGCAAACACAAACAAAAAAGAAAACACAAACACAAAACTATCCGATTGTGTTGTTCTATAACAAATCCAGGATCTCTAAGCATGTGGTCATGCATGAACAATCAATCATCCCAGACATCAGATTATCCCAGATTATCTGGCATGCGATCTCTTCGGCCATGACACGATTCAAATATATTTGATTCTACTATCGCAGTTAAAAACATTCAGAACTACATTTGTATTTTATTCTACTATCGCAGTTAAAAACATGCAGAACCACATTTCTATTTTATTCTACTATCGCAGTTAAAAACATGCAGAACCACATTTCTATTTTATTCTACTATCGCAGTTAAAGGCATGCAGAACCACATTTCTATTTTATTCTACTATCGCAGTTAAAAACATGCAGAACCACATTTCTATTTTATTCTACTATCGCAGTTAAAAACATTCAGAACTACATTTCTATTTTATTCTACTATCGCAGTTAAAAACATGCAGAACCACATTTCTATTTTATTCTACTATCGCAGTTAAAAACATGCAGAACCACATTTCTATTTTATTCTACTATCGCAGTTAAAAACATTCAGAACTACATTTCTATTTTATTCTACTATCGCAGTTAAAAACATTCAGAACTACATTTCTATTTTATTCTACTATCGCAGTTAAAAACATGCAGAACTACATTTCTATTATATTCTACTAACGCAGTTTAGAACATTCAGAGCTACATTTCTATTTCAAAGTTTTCTACCAAGCTCCTTGTACCGTACCAATGTGATTGATGTTCACTAAGTTTTGTATTGGGAGCTAACGAATCACTTAATAATATGTTCTAGATCTTCTACGCAGATTTGATGAGGCGGACATCAAAGACTTGAGCTATAAACAGTGAGTAATATCTACGCAAGGGGGGGGGGGGGGGGCGGGGGGGGGGGGGGAATGTATGTCAAGTGACTGGTGGCCCACGGGGCAGATGAAGAAAGTTCACCTGTTTATGTGACCTCGGCATGAGAAAGCGTACCAGTCGCCTTTACTTGCCTTGACGGGAGTGTTGGACCGATCAGACTAAAGCCCGGGATCCGAACTCGAATCACTCGGGTTAGTGGTAGTGCGCTCTATAAACAAACCATGCAGTACCATAGCGCTACATGGCGACATATTCTCTACGAGCCGACCCGCGGCGTATCATACACCGCTATTTAGTTGTTTTATGTTCTGCTTTTCAGTAATTCATAATTTGTGAATTCGACAGTACCAATGCTGCCACTGAAAATATCTGCTTTAAAACACTATCAGTAGGTCGTTAAGGACGATCCTCCCCCCCCCCTTCTTTTCCCCAACCCCTACCCTACCCCCCCTCCCTTGAAAGCAGCCTCCTCTTAGTTACCTCCCCTAAGTTTAAAATCGCGAACCACAGCTCACCAGACTATGTGGGGGTGGGGGTGGTAAGGATATGCTTAGAGAGGAAGAGAGGGGGCTGCTAGGCGCGTTTACAGCTTGGTGTTTTCTAGGGTATCCAAGAAGAGAATTATATATATAGATTGCAGGAAGGTGTGGTTGTGTGTGGGGGGGGGGGGGGAGTGAATAGATGGCAGACGTGCTAATGCACTAACCCAGGTGTTAAGGACGCTGTGATAAATATTTTGTTCTTAACTTGACCAGGTTTAAATTCACACGAGATGACCTGAGGTTGACCTTCAGGGAGGTTCCAGCACTAGGGGAGGACACAGCAACACGTGACAACATTGACCAGTACACGTGTACTCAACACGGACCGTTGCGGGTCAACGACACAGAAGATTTGTTTTGTCAGGTGAGTAGAGGGTAACCTGCACGTACATGGTGGGCTGTCTCTAGCTGCACGTACATGGTGGGCTGTCTCTAGCTGCACGTGTGTGGTGAGCTGCACGTGTGTGGTGAGCCGCCTCTAGCTGCACGTGTGTGGTGAGCCGTCTCTAGCTGCACGTGTGTGGTGAGCCGTCTCTAGCTGCACGTGTGTGGTGAGCCGTCTCTAGCTGCACGTGTGTGGTGAGCCGTCTCTAGCTGCACGTGTGTGGTGAGCCGTCTCTAGCTGCACGTGTGTGGTGAGCCGTCTCTAGCTGCACGTGTGTGGTGAGCCGCCTCTAGCTGCACGTGTGTGGTGAGCCGTCTCTAGCTGCACGTGTGTGGTGAGCCGTCTCTAGCTGCACGTGTGTGGTGAGCCGCCTCTAGCTGCACGTGTGTGGTGAGCCGTCTCTAGCTGCACGTGTGTGGTGAGCCGTCTCTAGCTGCACGTGTGTGGTGAGCCGTCTCTAGCTGCACGTGTGTGGTGAGCCGTCTCTAGCTGCACGTGTGTGGTGAGCCGTCTCTAGCTGCACGTGTGTGGTGAGCCGTCTCTAGCTGCACGTGTGTGGTGAGCCGTCTCTAGCTGCACGTGTGTGGTGAGCCGTCTCTAGCTGCACGTGTGTGGTGAGCTGCACGTGTGTGGTGAGCCGCCTCTAGCTGCACGTGTGTGGTGAGCCGCCTCTAGCTGCACGTGTGTGGTGAGCCGCCTCTAGCTGCACGTGTGTGGTGAGCCGTCTCTAGCTGCACGTGTGTGGTGAGCCGTCTCTAGCTGCACGTGTGTGGTGAGCCGTCTCTAGCTGCACGTGTGTGGTGAGCCGTCTCTAGCTGCACGTGTGTGGTGAGCCGCCTCTACCTGCACGTACATGGTGAGCCGCCTCTAGCTGCACGTGTGTGGTGAGCCGTCTCTAGCTGCACGTGTGTGGTGAGCCGCCTCTACCTGCACGTACATGGTGAGCCGCCTCTAGCTGCACGTGTGTGGTGAGCCGCCTCTAGCTGCACGTGTGTGGTGAGCCGCCTCTAGCTGCACGTGTGTGGTGAGCCGCCTCTAGCTGCACGTGTGTGGTGAGCCGCCTCTACCTGCACGTACATGGTGAGCCGTCTCTAGCTGCACGTGTGTGGTGAGCCGTCTCTAGCTGCACGTGTGTGGTGAGCCGCCTCTACCTGCACGTGTGTGGTGAGCCGTCTCTAGCTGCACGTGTGTGGTGAGCCGTCTCTAGCTGCACGTGTGTGGTGAGCCGCCTCTACCTGCACGTACATGGTGAGCCGTCTCTAGCTAGTGCTACATCTTTATGTTGCTACTTAATTAATTAAGTGATACTAAATCATTATGGTGCTACTTAATTAAGTGATACTAAATCATTATGGTGCTACTTAATTAAGTGATACTAAATCATTATGGTGCTTCTCCATTAAGAAATGCTACATTAGAAGTACTATATCAAAGGAATACTACTTAAATAGTTGTATATAATTATGCGAAGCTTCATCCTAGGAATATGTTAATTAGGGCGTTCTACTGGTTGCCCATTATCTTTCATATTTGAACAGGGAGGAAATTTTTTTTCCAAAGCAAAAATAACAGTTGTCTTAAATAACGTCGCATATTCGTTAACACACTTTGTCTGGTGCTGCTAGCCAACCTTCCTATGTAGAGCGGCACTATCCCACCGTCTACCATGCAGACAAAAATGTTTCAAAATTTCGATTGCCATTGTTTGCACTATAACAAAACTTCCTCTTGACTCCGTATACGAGGAAGTAAAAAAACAAACAACATGAGCACTTCTGTCCACGCTTGACCTTACTACACGTGCACCAGTTGCATTCCACACGGAGTAATCTAACCATCCCACCCTACATTGTATTCTTCCAATACTAAACACAGCTTATTAGCGTTCATTAACTCAATTTCATCAGGGCCGACAACTGTTCTTTAAAAAAAAAACAAAGAAGGGTAACTTAAAAAAAAAAATAACAGTTGTCGGCCCTGATGAAATTGCATCCAAGTAGTTGCTCGACCAAATTGTTGTCATGATTGCCCCGACCTACGTCACTCTCCTGATTGAAATTCCAACAGAAACGTCCACATTATCTCCCCGAGTACCTGAACCCGTGTTATAGAGAGGCGACCACTGACCAGCTGGACACTGGCCGTATCCGCTGCTTGCCCTACTTCCACATACTGGGTGTAGACAAGTCTGGAACTACAGACTTTTTCTCCAGGCTGGTGGCACACCCCCAGATCCTCAATAACGGTGGAGGCATCGGCAAGGAGACTTACTATTGGGCCTGGCTTAGATATGGTAATCTATAGAGTTCAAATGTCAAGTTTTTTTTTACACGAAGTATAGTGAGGAATTATTGTATTTGATTAGTTCAGTATTTGATTAGTACCGTATTTGATTAGTACAGTTAGATTTGTTTTTGATTTGCACCACATTTTATTTAAACTATATTTGATTGGTGAAAAAAAAACAACACTTGACAGGATTGTGGATGAAAGATAATAAAGCAAAATGGCGCCTGTGGAGATACATTCTTTTCTTTAAGAAAGCGAGCTCAAGGATTGAACAATCTCTGGTCATTTTTAAACAGCAGCTCATAACAGGTAACATCATTTGTCTGATGGCTTTGTTGCTGTCCCAAGTATACAGGGGACGGGTGGTGGCAGACCCAGGGGACGGGTGGTGGCAAAAGTAGGGGACGGGTGGTGATTGACCCAGGGGATGGGTGGTGATTGACCCAGGGGATGGGTGGTGATTGACCCAGGGGATGGGTGGTGGCAGACCCAGGGGACGGGGGGTGGCAGACCCAGGGGACGGGTGGTGGCTGACCCAGTGGATGGGTGGTGACAGACCCAGGGGACGGGTGGTGACAGACCCAGGGGACGGGGGGGGGGGGGTGGTGGCAGACCCAGGGGACGGGTGGTGACTGACTGTAGTACCAGGCAGGGCTAGTAACATATAAGACACGACGAAGGAAGTTATTTAAAGCGGTTCCCTGTCTGCAGGAGACGGCACACCCATGGACTTCTGGGACTTCCGTGGCTGGACGCTTGACCCCCAGAATGCTGGTCTGACAGAACCCAGGGTCCTGACCCCCCACTTGATGCGGCACTTGTACAAGAACCCCAAGTTTATCCTTCTCTTCAGAGACCCGGTCGACAGGTAATTTGTCTGCTTCATACTTTATGAGACACCACTTTATGAGACACACCTTTATAAGACACACCTTTATAAGACACAACTTATTAAGACAGCTTTATAAGACACAAATTTATAAGACACACCTTTATAAGACACAACTATTTAAGACACACCTTTATAAGGCATAACTTTATAAGACGTAACTTTATAAGACACACCTTTATAAGACACACCTTTATAAGGCATAACTTTACAAGACACAACTTTATAAGACACACCTTTATAAATCATAACTTTATAAGACACAACTTTATAAGACACACCTTTATGAGACACAACTTTATAAGACGCACCTTTATAAGACACAACTTTATAAGACACACCTTTATAAGACACAGCTTTATTAGACACAATTTTATAAGACACAACTTTATACAACACAACTTTATAAGACACAAGAGAACAATTTGCAATATTTGTAAAATTTAGCTGACATTTAAAAAAAAAATTGCTTAATGAATACACACATGTATTTGCATGAAGCTCTTTGTGTGGTTCCAGATTGTATTCGGACTACATCTTCCTTGGCTATGGTTTTACAGCTGAAAAGTTTGCTAGAGACGTGCCTAAAGCTATTGCTATGCTCAGAGATTGTCTACAGACTAATACAACACGACAATGTTTCTTTAGTGACCTGATGTACCATCGGCTACCTGTAAGGGACTCTTGGTGTAATGGTCTTCTTGGTGGGTGGGTTGGTGGGTTGGTTGGTTGGTGGGTTGGTTGGTGGGTTGGTTGGTGGGGTGGTTGGTGGGTTGGTTGGTAGGTTGTTTGGTGGTATGGTTGGTGGCGGTGGTTGGTGGGATGGTTGGTAGTTGGGTGAGATGTTTGGTAGGATGGTTGGTGGGATGGTTGGTAGGATGTGTGGGTTTGTGGGATAGATCGTGGGTTGGTTGGTGGGATGGTTGGTAGATGGGTGAGAAGGTTGATGGTATGGTTGGTGGGTGGGTGAGATGTTTGGTGGGATGGTTGGTGGGGTAGTTGGTGGGATGTGTGGGTTGGTGGGATGGTTGGTGGAATGTGTGGGATGGTTGGTGGGATTGTTGGTGGGTGGGATGGTTGTTGGGATGCTGGTAGACTGTCTGGTAGGATGTCTAATATGAAGCAAGCTAGAGACGATGCTAAAATTAACATAGTCCCCATGTTTGTGTTCCAGATGCGAATCCACACCAGCTGTTATTCCGTGTTTCTAAGAGAGTGGTTGTCTGTGTTTCACCGAAATCACTTCCTGGTGTTGCGAACAGAGGACTATCACAGCAACATGAAGGCCACGTTAGAGCAGACGTTTCGTTTTCTACAAGTAGGTGAGTACATTTTCTACAAGTAGGTGAGTACATTTTCTACAAGTAGGTGAGTACATTTTCCACAAGTAGGTGAGTACATTTTCTACAAGTAGGTGAGTACATTTTCTACAAGTAGGTGAGTACATTTTCTACAAGTAGGTGAGTACATTTTCTACAAGTAGGTGAGTACATTTTCTACAAGTAGGTGAGTACATTTTCTACAAGTAGGTGAGTACATTTTCCACAAGTAGGTGAGTACATTTTCCACAAGTAGGTGAGTACATTTTCTACAAGTAGGTGAGTACATTTTCTACAAGTAGGTGAGTACATTTTCTACAAGTAGGTGAGTACATTTTCTACAAGTAGGTGAGTACATTTTCTACAAGTAGGTGAGTACATTTTCTACAAGTAGGTGAGTACATTTTCTACAAGTAGGTGAGTACATTTTCCACAAGTAGGTGAGTACATTTTCCACAAGTAGGTGAGTACATTTTCTACAAGTAGGTGAGTACATTTTCTACAAGTAGGTGAGTACATTTTCTACAAGTAGGTGAGTACATTTTCTACAAGTAGGTGAGTACATTTTCTACAAGTAGGTGAGTACATTTTCTACAAGTAGGTGAGTACATTTTCTACAAGTAGGTGAGTACATTTTCTACAAGTAGGTGAGTACATTTTCTGCAAGTAGGTGAGTACATTTTCAACAATAAAATTCATGGTCTACGGCGTGTATTACTACGCTGTAGAGTAAATGCATACGTCTTTAATTTGACTTCATATTCAACGGATACAATACCAGATTTACATTTAGAGGCAAGAATATTTTAAGTATATTATTATCTCACTGTAGTTGTTGCATGTAACATTTCTACACCAGCCCCACTGACCTTGTAACATTTCTACACCAGCCCCACTGACCTTGTAACATTTCTACACCAGCCCCACTGACCTTGTAACATTTCTACACCAGCCCCACTGACCTTGTAACATTTCTACACCAGCCCCACTGAACTTGTAACATTTCTACACCAGCCCCACTGACCTTTACACCAGCCCCACTGACCTTGTAACATTTCTAAACCAGCCCCACTGACCTTGTAACATTTCTACACCAGCCCCACTGACCTTGTAACATTTCTACACCAGCCCCACTGACCTTGTAACATTTCTACACCAGCCCCACTGACCTTGTAACATTTCTACACCAGCCCCCACTGACCTTGTAACATTTCTACACCAGCCCCACTGACCTTGTAACATTTCTACACCAGCCCCCACTGACCATGTAACATTTCTACACCAGCCCCCACTGACCTTGTAACATTTCTACACCAGCCCCCACTGACCTTGTAACATTTCTACACCAGCCCCCACTGACCTTATAACATTTCTACACCAGCCCCTATTGACCTTGTAACATTTCTACACCAGCCCCCACTGACCTTGTAACATTTCTACACCAGCCCCCACTGACCTTGTAACATTTCTACACCAGCCCCACTAAGTGACCCTGACCTTGATGACGTCCTGAGGCAGCAAATGAAGCATGAGACGTACCGCAAGAAAACAGCAGGCGACATGTACCCAGAGACCCGTGCTCTGCTGGAAGAATTTTTTGCTCCATTCAACCAAGATCTCGCTCGTCTGCTACAAGATGACAAGTTCTTGTGGAAGGACCAATCAAGATCTCGCTCGTCTGCTACAAGATGACAAGTTCTTGTGGAAGTTTTAGTCTAGTACATCCTCTATAGAGATCTAAAATAGTTTTATGTTTTTAACTCCGGCCAATGACAGACGCACACATCATTCTGACATCTAGTATGTTTTTAAAAAGTAAATAAAAACCAAATGATAGCCAATATAAATACTATAGAACTACTGAGATATTTTGTCGGAGATGATTTGTCTGAGATAATTAGTGTGAGATCATTTGTCTATGATGTCATATGCCCTGAGATCTTTAGTCCATTAGATCATTTGTCCTCGATATAATTTGTCCTGAGATATTTTGTCTTGATACTTTTTTCCTGAAATTTTTACGTCCGTGAGGTATTTTGTCTGGAATATTTGTATGAGATCATTTGTCCTATCGCCAAATGTACCTATACATATATATATATATATATATATATATATATATATATATATATATATATATATATATATATATAGGCCCTATATATATATATATATATATATATATATATATATATATATATATATATATATATATATAAAACTATATAACTTCCAAACCCGCTTTAAGCATTGTCTAAACTTAGACATTAAAGACACCCTAAACATAACACTAGCTCAAATGCCAAGTTAAACCAAAGCGTTTACCATAGACTTGAACTAATTCAAACTCCTACTCAAAACCTTTAACCAGGCTGTGAGTTATCCTTTAACTAACCGTACCTGAAATCGCAGCTATCTAAAAACCTAACTTTAACAAACAAAAGCTAATACAATCACATGTGCATCTGACTGCCCCTTTATCCTATCCCGCGTGAGCGCATATGTTATGGTTAGGTTCAGACGTCCACGGGACTTAGGGTTAGCGTTATACTACGTGTTTACTGTGTTGTTCCATCACCATCCGATAGTTAACCCTAAACAAATTTTTAAAGAAATTTAAATTTGACTGGTTTTGTGTAAGGGTGTATGTGTCTGTGTACTTTAAATACATCGAATGTTAACAGCCTATGTAGGCGCGATGTTTCACTACCCAATCAACATTTGAATAATATATTTTTGCTGTATTTATTTATTGATAGTTTTCTGTATACATCAAATATTAAGCTTTCATTCTTGTTTTCTTTACGTGTTTTGATGGTTGAAAGATATTATTATTTTTTTTTTTTTTGCGGCAACTATTGGGGAACTAGAAAATTGTTGGCGAGCTAAAAAATAATCGAGGAACAAAAATTAGTTGGGAAGCTAGAATATTTTGTGTGTGGGTGGCCAGTTGAAGTTAGGCAATTATTTAATGGCAATAAAACTTTTGGGGGATAAGAAGAAAATTATTGGGGAACTAGAAATTATCTGTGGGCAATAAAACTTTTGGGGAATAAGAAGAAAATTATTAAAAAGAAATTATTAAGGAAATGGAAATTATTTTTGTAACAAGAAAATTATTGGGGGGCTGGAAACGTTTTTAAAAACTTCACTCTGGTATTTAAATTATGTATGCTGGTCTAGCCTTACTTTTGGATTTAATTTGCTTCAATAATCTCGAACCAAATTTTTATTGTGAAAACCAACGTCACTTCCCGGTAAACGTGACGTAGCATAACAACACATGTCAACACAGTTGTAGACGGCACGCTGCTCATCTCAGCACACTGACGTTAGGAAAATAGTCTCCATCGTTCCACGTTTGTAACCGGCTTGCACCCGACCCGATTGCCACCATGACTGAAAACAAAGCTATCTGTGGGAAATCCATTGGCACTGAAACGGAGCTGGTTGAGCCAGAGTTGGAGGAGTACGTCCGACCCCCATGTGTAACCTACCTCCCCCCGGGCGCTAACCCTGACGCCCCAGCGAAGGATGACAAAGGCAAAAAGCCAAAGCCAGTAGCAGGCAAACCAAATCAAGGCAAGACCAAATGAACCAGGCATGTCGCGTGCTAAACAGTGAGTTGTTTTTTTAGTTTGACACATTCTTATTTTAATATTAGAAACTAGACTCTAGGCTTTACTCTACAGTTCTCCAGCTAAATCTTGGTGGAATCTTTTCAAATTTGCCACGACATAGATCTAGATCTTCTAGATCTAGATCCAGATCTGCTACGTACAGTCTTAAACTCTTAATGTAATCAAGAGATATTCAGTACCCTTTCAAGTAGAGTTGATAACAAATACATACAGTGTATAGTCAGCACAATTCCCAGCCGCCTTTACTTCCCCTATCAAGTCACCAGGGTCTCGAGATTGAACCAACTGAAGCCTTGCCTAGATCTAGATCAGTTGTACTGTTGTACATTGTATTGCTAGATGAACCGGACTATGTGGCCAGATTTCTCTTCATTTTCATTGGTTTAAAAAATAGTGACCAGTTTAGTTTATTTATATTATAATGATATGGATTTTTTGTTAGAATGTTGCCAAATTGTATTAGATTTAATGGCCTTTAAGGCTTAAGGAAAGGTGCATCATGTAGGCAGTATAACAAAATAACTGGCCAGTT